CGGGTAGTTGTTGACATCTGTTTAGGGGAGTCTGTTCTAAGTTAGTAAACCAGCTTTCCAGAGTCAGTCGTTGAAAATAGTCAGTGCTGTAGGTTAGGCATTGCGCAGAGTCCCAGTCAACATTGACTGGGACTCTGGGATTCTGGACTCTGGGACTCTGAGTCTTCCAGATTCTTCCACAGAGAATTTTTATGGACAGAAATCTAGATTGCATGTGAAATTTAAGTCTTTCTCTGCGTTTGGTACGAGATTATGGAACTGTCTAAACCCTGACTTGTGCAAGCTCATGAAAAGAGCATTTAAAAGGAAAATTCATATGTTGCTTTTGACAGGCTATACTTGGGGTTGAGAACTATTATGTTGACGCCCATTCACTAATATTGAAATTCAATACCAATGATTATTGAATATTATAACTGTAGTACTTCGCTCACATCCTCATATCACAATCCTCTCCTCTCTACTTTCCAGTCTGCTCTGCCTGTATTTGATTATTATATATGTCTTGTTTTAACTCAGTAGTAATTTTATTGTATTTAATTTGTATGACAACTGTACGTATCTTTTAGCTTATAATGTAGTAAACTAATGCATGGTTTATAACCCCAATAATATCGTAGTAATGAAATCTCTTTAGTTTATTGTGGTAATCAAACTTCTTTAGTTTGCAATGTGTAGTATTTACTTATTTATTACTAATACCCGCCAAGACTAGCTAATGCTGTATGCGGGTTGTGCAAATTTGCTTGGAATGTTCAGTAAAATAGTAATAAACAAACAAACAAGCACTACGGAAGACAGCAGAAAGCGATTACATGTCACAATAATTTCAGGGTTGTGCGCGATTGAAAGCATAAGTTTTCCTTACAGAAATATGATATTAGGTATGATCAGTGCATCCTAAAACTTAGAGGAAAATGTTTTTCTTTGAAGAGAAAGTATTTTACTGTTCAACTCAGTAAATTATGCAGATCCGAAGATATAATCTTTGCTGTTCTTGTCGTAAGTGACACTACAGAAGAAGATTACAGTCTTGTCCGACTGAATAACACGGTCAAGTTATTCGTTGCAGTAGCTTATGCTCAGCTAAACATAAAGTTTGGGTTATCGTCACAGAGGCAGCGGAGCGTTTTGAAACTTAGGAGGGGGGGTAGGGCATAAAAATCTCCGAAATGCAAAATCGTGAAGATAAGTTTGTTTTGCTTCGCCAAGTATCTAGACAAAATTTGACTCCGCCAAATTTTCAATTTGTCAATCATGCGCGCACTGAAAAACGGTAAAATTCCAGAAATTCCAGCTTTTTCTACATACCTCATTGTCGAACTGATTCTCGAAAATTTTCAATTCGGCTTCAAGGTCATAAGTTTTTCAACACGCTAAGTCGGGAAACTCAATACTCTGAAAGCATCGGCTTGTTTAGCAGAAGGCTTAAAAAAATTCTTCTTTCTTAGTTAAATATATTCTTTGTTAAACTACACACCTTTTCTTTTTTTTTATCTTTTCTTTTTCTGAACTTAATCTAAATTTTTATTGAACACATTTGATCCTAGCTATAGTTTAAGAAAGCCTATACTTTATTATACTCCTATACTTACTTAGGCTTCCTTCCTGTTACCTCTTCAGTTCCTTTGATTTTGAAGTTAATTTAGTAAGAATAGTTCTTTTTATCTTTGATGTATCATAAATTTCTTATTCGGTTAACTTTTTTTTCTGGTAATGGCAGATAAAATGAATAAATGAATGAATGAAAATATTTGTAAATGATCAAATAAACTGAGCAGTGCTTGGAACTAGAGTTTGAACAAAGAACAACAGATCAATACGTTTCGTAAACAGATTCATTTGTAACATCTTGATTTTACGTCACTTACCACAAATTTTGCAGAAGAATATTAATTTCATCCGGCTAGATTTCGATCCCTTTGCAGTCTATGTATCGAAAAGCAAGCTTACATGAATATTGATTGACTCGTTAAGCGTGAATAATCAGCCGCTTTCTTGGTGAGACCAGGAAATGGTCACTCTTAGCATCCACTTTAACTTGTTTTTCCAGCATCAACTCGTTCACGAGCTCTCGACTCACAATGAGCCGAGGAGTTGTATTTGATCGTATTTCCCTACAACATTGTAGTGGGGCGACCTTGTTAATTGACTCTGAATACATGCAATCGTTTTTACGGCGTCTATCAAAGTCCTATCCCCTAAGCTTTCATGCTGCAACAATGGTCGCCAAGTGAACCTTTCTTTGTAATACATGGACAAAGATATGGCGAACTCATGCTATCTCCAGGGTCATCAACCTAGGACCGAAACGATTTTTAATTAGAGCTTGAGGATGTTTAACTTACCTCTTTCTTTTTTTATGTTTCAGAAGGTGAGCATGGCGGGACTTTTTAATAGAAAAGGAAAGGGAAAAGGTTTGTTTCAATGAATTTGAATATATGAAAATCATATATGTGTACTGTGGTTTTAAGAAATGTATGAAAGCGATCCTCGCAGTAATAAAAACTGCTTATGAAGTAGTGAAAATAAGGTCTGAAAAAAAATCAGGCCCGTACGGGATTTGAACCCATGGTCTTTGCGATACCGGTGCAGTGCTCTACAAACTGAGCTAACAAGCCAACTGGGTGATGGCCATTATGTTGGTTTTGCTACTCATGAAGACCACTGTAAATTTTTAGATAGAAACGAGTTATTTTGCAAGAAAAATTCTCGTTGGTCAGCAAAACAATAAGTATATATGACATCATATAAACATTAATTTGACACAAGCGCCATGGCCTGCACAACAAGCTTCATCATCACAGGCACCGTGGTCTGCACAACAGGCTTCATCATCACAGGCATCATGGTCTGCACAACAGGCTTCGTCATCACAGGCACCATGGTCTGCACAAGAGGCTTCATCATCAGAGGCGCCATGGTCTGCACAACAGGCTTCATCGACACAGGCGCCATGGTCTGCACAAGAGACTTTATCATCACAGGCATCATGGTCTGCACAAGAGACTTCATCATCACAGGCATCATGGTCTGCACAACAGGCTTCATCATCAGAGGCGCCATGGTCTGCACAACAGGCTTCATTAAAACTGGAGCAAAGGTCTGCACAACAGGCTCCATCAAGACAATCGCCAGACCGATCAAGACAGCAATTAACAACATCATCAGCCTTATCACAGGCTCAACAAGAGCCATTATTAACTTCTGCTTCGTCACATGCAGCACTAACACTTCAACCGTCATTGTCGCTATCGTGTGTAGATGTGACATCACCAAAAGAATGCGATAAAGATCAAGATTTCTTTGAAAGAAATAAATTCATTGTTACTGGGATGAATCAGTGTACTACAGAAGACGGATTGATGAACTTTATTGAGGTGATAAGTGGTGAAGAAGTGGAGGAAGTACAAATCCTGAGACAATACAGAGCTCTTGTTACGATGGCAAATGATATAAAAGGTACGTTTGTATAGCGAGACTTTCAACAAGCAATTTTCAATTGAGTTTCGAAAGTAATCGGGGATTGCCTGGGTTTCATTGAACTTTGCTCTGTGATTGGTTCAGTAAACTTTCGCCATTCTCTCAACCAATCAGATGCAAAACTAATCACAACTTGTGCGGCCGGTTTTTCCCGGCTGCGCTTTAAGCAGTTTGCTGGTTTTGACTTTGATTTCTCATTGGCCAGTGATAATATAAACCATAGTTTTGATTGGTCAGAAGGATTACTAAAGTTTCGACTTCTCGAAACTGAATTAAAAAACTGACCCATCAGAGGAAGAAGTTCTGATGATTTACACAAAGCAGGGACAAAATATGCCATGTGCTAAAATTACTATGTACTCAATTAGTCAGGTCAGCTCGATTATTTGTAGACGAAAATAAACCTCGCCGACCATGAAAATATCATATATATCTGGCGACGTTAGGACTTGAGTGCATAGGGAATTGCTTACGATATCTTTTAGTAACACTTATGTATTATGCACATCGATTCTTATTCATTTTCTTTAGACTTTAGTGATTTTAAGCGTAAAGGCGAAGCAAGACCTTTGGATAGTGTTCAGGTCTCCATCGAACAAGCTCCTGTTTGCAGAAGCATCCTGGTTACTGGTATTTCTGAGAACACTACCCATGATACCATTCAACTGTGCTTTGAAAACCGAAAGAAGAATTGTGGTGGTCCTGTGGACAAGGTGTATTTTACGCCCGGAAGTGGAAGAGCTGTGGTCGTATTTAAAGATCCAAAAGGTGTGCAATCAATTTCTATTGTTGCTATAAAATATTTATCTTTTAGGAACTGAACAGTAACAATTGATTCAAACTTATCGTGTATTCAATGGGTGGCACGTAGGAGATTCAAATTTTTTGAGAAGAGGAGATATTCCTGCTCCTTAAAAGGTTAAGACCTATCCCATTCACTCGATAGCAAAGTCTTCGAATCGTCCTTTCGCTCGCTGAAAGGTGTACTACTCTAACCTGTAAACTAAACACTGTATGTGGGAAATGCTGTAATTGATAAATGTAAATATAGTTTCACTGCCTCAGTGATTCTCCCGTCTATAAACTTTATCTTTCCTATCATACCTTATCTCTCCCTCTCACGAAGTTGCCTGTGAAACTCCAGTTTTCAATCACGTGAAAAGTTCGGTCGAAATTCCTGACACTTCCTTTCCCCTACAGACATGGCAAAAGTGCTTGACAGGCATCAGGAGCTACCAATTGTGTTAAACGGAAAGCAGCTTTCAATCAAAATCCACCAAGAATTTCTTGAAGATGAAACCACTCAAACGATTCAACAGAAGGAGACGGTGGAAACCCACTGGAAGCAGACCTCTCTAAAAGAAAATGAAGAACGTGGTAGAGTATTCGATACCACTCAAACGATTGAACAGAAGGAGACAAGGGAAACTTACTGGAGGCAGGCCTCTCTACCTGTTCCCAAAGAACACATAATCTTGTTGAAGAAAATAAAGCTGCGGATAAACTAGCAGGCGAGAGTAAGCTTCCTTCCTGTTACCTCTTCAGTTCCTTTGATTTTNGATGAAGACAATTACATCAAACAAGAAGACTATGTGTGCATCTCGGACCTTATGAGGAAGTATATTGGCGAGTTTCGTGAAAACAACTTACGATCCATTGAAGATCAGCTAAAAGAATTTTACGTTTCGATTAAAAATGGAGAAAGACATGAACATTTTGAGATTTCTGGAAAGAGAGAAGGCTTGAAACGGGCGAGAAAGAAGCTTGATCACCTCACAAATGATATCGCGTTACATGCGTTTGATATAGAGCAGCCAGGCCTGCTGAAGTATCTTGACACTGAAAAAGGGAGATGCTTGGTGAAAGCGGTGGAAAAGGAACAGGATTGTGTCATAGGTTTCAAGGAGAACTTGTGCAGAGAGTCCGAAACTGAATCTACTGCCTCTACAGGTGAAGAGGAAATGACTATCGATGAAGGAAATGAATATGATGATGAGATAAACCATGACAGTGATGATAACAAGGACAGTGTTGGAACTGCTGATGATGGCAAATGTGATGATAATGATGAAGTGGACCAAAATGATGCCAGTGGTTGTGGCCTTAATGATGTCACTTCTGCTGTTGATGAAGGTACCACTGTTGGAAATGATACGTCAACTCTTGTAACAACCCATGGCCATAATATATCATGGAAACCTGGATTTATCGAGCAAGAAAAGGTATTTTTTTTATTTAAGAATTAATCTGTGAAAGTATGAATACAGCATTTCAGATTGATGGCAAAATGATCCCTGATCGGTTTAAAACTGCATCATGCAAATGTTTTAACTAAACATTATTGACATTTCCATCCGAACGAGTTATTTCTATCTCATAAGTACTCTCCGCTACATGCGATGTAGAAAGTTTTGAAAGTTTGTTTGGATGTTTTAATTAGTATTTGTATCATTAGTAGGCTTGCAGCCTCTCATCGGTAGCAGTTAATCAATTAAAACCTCTGCTGATTTGGAAACTGTTATTACTTTATGAAAAGCCAGCATTAGTTGAGTCGAATTAGAAATGTTTTAAGAGAGG